GGGCAATCATCTGGTTAAAAAATAAAAAACAAAAAAAATGCTAGATAGCTAATGCTATGTGAGCATTCAGAGAGCAAAAGTTTAGAGCTATTTTTAAACTAAAATAGACAACTAGAAACTTCTGATATGCTATTGATTATGTTCATCTTTAATACCATTAGAAGTATTTAGCTACTTAAAGCCAATAACTTTGTCATAGTACAACTTATTTGGGGGTCAAGAAACATTCATCTTTTTAAAAAGTAATTTTAATGTGCATGGATTTTTATGCAAGGTAATACTTAGAAAGTTTATCTCAGACAGCCCTGCACTAATTGGATACTAAGCACACAGCTACTCACTTTTAAAATGCAATACTAATTCCCCCAATATTCCTATTTGAATGGAAATGTAGTGAGAGTAAAGTGAGACCATGACAACCCAACTGAGGTAGTTTCTTAAAAGAAAGAGGGTCTACAGAAAGCCTTCCTTGCATAATTTGTGTCCTGGCCCTCAAAGCCCTGTTTGCAAAAGAAAGTTACTAGGCTGACACATTTTTTTTTTCTCCTTTGGTTCAGGCAAATGTCAGCGTTCTTCCAAACTCTTTTCACACCTCTGGCTCTAAGGAGATGAAAGTGGCAATTCCTCTTTTCTTTGAAAATCATTTCACTCTCGACGCCTTCAAATCTTGAGGGGGAAAACACTTGCCTGGAATGAACCAATGAGAAAAACCTAAATAGCTAAATTTTGCACACAAAAATAACGACAATCAATCTGAAAGTAGAGTTTCTAGAGGAGGAAGATGGTAGGTTGCATGTGCATTTGCTACTGAATTTGCTTTAAACCTGATGAGTACCATTTGCCCTATTAACTTCTAGTCTGGGAGAAAGTTCTTAAGACTAGAGAGAATAGAATAACTAACTGCTCCAACAACAGATTTTCTTTACTATCGGGGTGGAAATTGCCCAATTCTAAGTTCAGCTGTAAGGTACAAGAAAAACTACCCCTTCTCTGAGTTTCACTTCTAAGGGGGCCAGTTAGTTTTGTATAATTTAGCAGAGTTTGTCTTGGAAAGCAGAGGAAATGCAGTGTCTTGCAGGACTGCCTACCCTCTTGCTGGCAGGGAAATAAAATAAGAAGCCTGTCTGAATTCACGTGCTTGGTGTAGCTGTTCCCATCCTAACTTTTTTTTTTTTTTTTAAATTCCCCCTGATGAGAAGGGGCTGTGAAAGTAGGCGGGTTTGCTGCACTGTCCTGGCACGTTTTATTATTGTGATTTTGAGTTTCCTCCTATGGAGACATGCATGTTTTACCTTCCACCCTCCGGGAGAATGCCTCCCTTTCTTTCCTTCCTTTCTTGCTAAAGGATTCTGAATTTCTGAATTAGTTGATAGGGGCACAAGTTAGGGCAAGACCATTCATCCTAGCCGGGTTTCACTGAGAATCCTAGAATTTTTACTTTAAAAAATATTTTTAGATTAAAAAAATCTCAGCTTTAGAGATGCAAGGCCACCGAATTGGAGGTTGTAGGATCCAGCTGGACTGACATTATATAAGCTCCCTGCCCTGCCGGTCCCCCCTGTGCCCGCCTGGCCTTCTGAACCTTGTTTCTCTCCTGTTTGTCATGCAGTACGACGATCTACCCCATTACGGGGGCATGGATGGAGTAGGCATCCCCTCCACGATGTATGGGGACCCGCATGCGGCCAGATCCATGCAGCCGGTCCACCACCTGAACCATGGGCCTCCTCTGCACTCTCATCAGTACCCGCACACAGCTCACACCAACGCCATGGCCCCCAGCATGGGTTCCTCCGTCAATGACGCTTTAAAGAGAGATAAAGATGCCATTTATGGGTAGGTACCATGGGCAGCAGGTTAAATAGCCGAGATGCGGTGCTAATCCTGTTTCCCTTTGCCTTTGGTAAGGGGAAAGCCAGAGTACTCTGGACTGGAGATGCAGTACTTGGTGACTTTTCATTCGCATTGCATGGAGAATCTGGGGGTGTGGGGGCTGCCTGCGATCCCGGACGCCCCCCTCGCCATGCGAGCTCCACCGCTGCCCAGCCTCTGGCTCTGCCGAGGCTGTGCCTGGGAAGGGGGTCGCAGTGCAGGAGAAATTGCCCAAAGGTCCCTCTTCCTCTCTCAGAGGGTTGGTGTCCCGGCTGGAAGCAGTGTTCTGGGAAAGCGTTGGGGGTTTCTCACTGCAGGCGCCTTTGTGTTGGAAGGAAACTTTTAGTTTCAGGGAAAATCTTTTAAGCCACTGATTGTTCGGACTTGCTAAGTTTACTCAGCAACCCTGTGCTGGCTCTGCCACCGCACAATAAAATGCAGGGAGGACAGTTGCAAGTCAGGCAAGGGGAACCAGCTTTGCATTTGGAAAGTTTGACCGCGGTAGTCACGGTAGTCAAGGCAGTCAAGGAGAGGAGCTCGGTCTGAATTGTTACAGACATGAAGAAACTTCTAGTCGTTTTAATACTCTGTGAGCCAAGATGAAACCTGCAGGCTTTAGAAGTAGATGCGGGGTGCTATGGGCCGTGTTGTTTTCTGACTGCGGTTCCCACCGTTTTCTCCCGGCCATTCCATCAGACACTGGACTGGTAAAATCCTTTGAAAGAGCCTTGTGCCTAGTGTGTGCTGGTGAATTTGGGGACCTCTTTTGACTTTGCAGCAACTTTTGTTTCTTCTATTTAAAAAAACAAAACAAAAAAGAATCATGCAACACTGACCCTCCCCAGCTGCACACCCTTTCTGCTTTATTTTTCTGGTCCCTCGTGCGATGGGCTTGTTTAAATCCCAGCGTTCTCTCCGCAGCCTTGACTGCAAATGGTTTAGGCTCTGGGACAGAACATTTGGGGAAGCTTTGAAAAGGACCCCGAACTGTTAAATTCCCAGCTGGGCTGTGAGAGCTAATAAAAGACTGGAGACACCTCCTTGGGCATTAGAAGAAGCTTTTTTCTTTCTTTTATGGGCTGAGATAAGCGACATCTAGGCCCCTCGCCGTACTAGCTGCCTTGCCATTCCGCTGAGACAAAATGAAAGGCTTTCTGGCTTTCCGGCAGGACCACGGGCGGGAACTTTCTTTTGGGGGTGGTGGGGGCGATCGGCGAAGGCAGGGACAATGTGCACGGAGCCCAGAAGGCGCCTCCTTGCTCTCCGAGGGCCCTGGGATGGAGATCGGCAGGGGCAGCCCCCTGACAGCCGGTCCCGCAGCCTTTGGAGGTCCTTTCCCCAAGTTAGCTGAGCGCCTGCCACCGATATCCCAAGCCTGGGCTTCGCGAGGCCGCCTCGGAGGAGCCCCCTGGAAGGAGCTCTCCCAGCCCCTGTGCCCAGCGCCTTTCTCCGGCTCCAGGTCCTGGATGTGCAGCCGAGGGCCGAGGGCTTGTCGGGTGGGAAACTTCATTCAAAATGGCTGCTGGAACCGCTTGGGTTTTATTCTTAGCAAATGTTACCAATTTCTCCGGCCAGATAAGCTGAACCGATCCTCAGATACGGTCCGTGGCGTAAGGCCTCCAACTTCGGGGCCCTAAGAGGAAGGGGAGGTGAGCAGTCACCTGGGTGGGGGGGAGGGGGGGAGGAAAAAAGTAGATGACAAAACCCGGGAGGGGGTCCCTGCCTCCAGCTCCTCCGGCTGCTTTTCTTGGGCGCCCTTTCCCCCTGACTCGGGACTAACCATTGTGTTGTTTGTGACTGTTGTATTTTCTTGCAGACACCCCCTCTTCCCTCTCTTAGCACTGATTTTTGAGAAATGTGAATTAGCTACTTGTACCCCCCGAGAGCCAGGGGTGGCGGGCGGGGACGTCTGCTCGTCAGAGTCATTCAATGAAGATATAGCCGTGTTCGCCAAACAGGTCAGCAAAATAAATGTTTAAAAAGTAAAGGGGGGGAAAGGGGACCTCCCTCCCCGCCCCCCGACCCAGCACATTTGCAAGAGTCATTAACAACTAGTCCACCCTGGGCCATGCCTGTTACAGCTACCCTAAGATTTCCCTCCTGTGTAAGTGTCTGCGGTGGGGACTCAAAATCGCCCATATCCATCCCAACTCAAGCTCCATAACCTCATGTAGAAAACTCTCTTTATAAAAATAAAATCACCAACACCATGCGCTGCAGCTGCCTGGGACTTGGTGAGCTGAGCAGCCTCCTTTAGAGGCGTCTCTGCTGGTAGAAGTCACCCAGAGCTGGGGGCTTGTTTTCGGCTTGAGTCTCATTGAAGTGTGTTTGCGCGGGAGGAACTCGGTGTCACCGAGTCCCTCCAGGAGGCTACGTCCTGGCCCCGACAGTGTAATGAGTCAAGAAAGTAGGAAGGCGAACAGATTTCAATTTTTTTCTCCCCCCCCCCACCCCTTTCCCTTCTCACTTGTATTTAGATTCGTGCAGAAAAACCTCTATTTTCTTCTAATCCAGAACTGGATAACTTGGTAAGAGCGGACCCCTACTCCCCTCCCTCAGCTCCCCTCCCCTCAGCCCCCCAGCTTTGCTTTGAGGGCCCTGAGGTTTCTAGACCCGTCATCCCGCCGCCGCTGCAGGTCTGCTGCAAATGTTTCCGTCCACGGACAAGCGGTCCGGGACATGATCCCCGGGAAATAAATTTTTCTGGAGAGGGGCCGGGCAAGCGGCGCAGAGAAACGCGAGCTTTTGTTTTTTATGACAGCCGGGCAGCGCAGCTCTAATCAGCGCGGGGATTTATCTCCGGGCCTGTCAGCGTGTGTGCTTAAACTTTGCAGACTTCCCAGCCCTCAAAGTCGCCTCAGGAGGGGCACCAACCAGGCAAGAGCCCCCTAACCACCAGTTTGCCTGAAAGGTGTGCCGAAGGCAGCAGAGAGTTTGCAGTGCTAAAAGCCACAATTTGGGGGACTATTTTGACTATTTTCCATGCACACCTTCCAAGGAAACATCTAGTCCAAGGATGTGGCCCTTTGGGGGTGGGGAGGAGGCAGTGGGGCCGAGAAAGGGGAGAGAGCCATGGGGGAGGAGAGTGTTTATGATCCCCACTTAGATGCTTTGTTGTTGTTTTAGCTATTTCTTTCTCCTTAAGAAATATAAACCTCTAGATCGTACCCAGTCGCCGCTATTAAGTTTTAGTGTTATTGCCATAAATCAAAATAACTCTATTTACTGGGGGGAGGGGGTGGGCTGGAGATGCTAGAGCTGTGACAGCCAATTTTCTGCAAACTAGGAATAGGGTGCTCATTCTTTTTGTGTCTTTGCAGATGATTCAAGCCATACAAGTATTAAGGTTTCATCTGTTGGAATTAGAGAAGGTAATTTCTCTAGCCTCTTTTTCTTTTGCCCCTTCACCCCCAAAGACACAGGATGGGGGAGGGTTCAGAATGGCTGAAGTTCAGGCTTCTGAAACATTTGCATAAATGTCTTTCTTTCTGGTAATTAGTGTCAAGGCCAATCTTTGCATCCATTTCTCTTTGCAGTTTAATTACAATTTCAGCCACTAAAACCGGGATCACAAACGCCCTAGCCTTGTATTCATTCTTAATACCTTGCTGGCTTTGTATAAATAGTTGCAATTCTATGCAACCCCCTTGATGTTAAGAATGCTTTTGTGAGTTGCTTCACAGGTTATACCTTTGTGGCCTCTTCTCTTCCTCTTCTTCTTTTTCTTTGCTACCTCTGGGGAGGGGGGAGTTTTGTTTAGTTTTAGTGAGTTTCTGGAAGACAGTCTGAGAGCAGCCGCAGGTCAGACACAGAGGAGAGGCCGAGTGGGGGTTGGGGGTAGCGGACAGAGAGTCTGGAGGAGGTGGTGGGAGAAACACATTAAATGTTTTGCAGAGACAAAGTAGAGTTGATAGTTGCGTCAATTTCTTGAATCTGCAAATCCTGCGCACATCCCACCTTCACGCTCAAGAAAGGGTGTGGGCTAATACAATTTTGCTAGCTGTTCTATAAATCTCAGCAATAAAAACTTAATGCATTGTAATTCAAACTAACATCAAATCGCAAGCACACTGGGGTTTCTTGTGAATTTTTGCATGTCAGTGATGACTGGGGCCTGTAAGAGACCACTCCACTTGCACCTAAATATTTTGAAGCAATCTTTTTCCTTTTTATATCTAAAAAATCAATTGGATACATTTTTGTGACTGTAGGTTTTTTTTTTCCATATATTGATTACTGGAAAGTTGATTTCCTTTTATTTTTCAAAGGAAGTATCCTAAAATATGCTTCTTATGGATAGAAACCCTAATTTCAAATATTATAGGGACTGGGGTTGTCAGGCATAGATCCTATGCCACCACAGTACTGGTCCTTTGAATATATATTATATATATGCAAAATTACATATAGATGCATTTTTCCTTAGACAAATTGGAAAAAGGACCTGTGATAAAGTAACTAGATAAAATTCAATAGTTTACCTTCAATGTCACCCACGCAGGTCACCTCTCTAATGGCCACAGTCCTGGAAGCAGATGAATTTAACACGGGTGTTGAATATGTTGTAGCCTGTGAATCATCTTGTCACTGTCAATTTTCTGGGATATCTCTATTTTGCAAGAAAAGAAAGTTATTCCTAATTCTGGATGCGTCTGGGGGTCTCTGGAGGACAATTGCCCTGTGTTTCCCCTGTTTGGAAGTTTGGATCTCACAAGGGGGGGGGGGTGGATTGCACTTGTCAATGTCATTTATACCCTCTTGATTATATTTCCATTCTTTATTTCTGTCATAATGTAGGTACACGAATTATGTGACAATTTCTGCCACCGGTATATTAGCTGTTTGAAAGGGAAAATGCCTATCGATTTGGTGATAGACGATAGAGAAGGAGGATCAAAATCAGACAGTGAAGATATAACAAGATCAGCAAATCTAACTGACCAGGTATGTGCTTTTCAATTTCAACATCCCTGAAAAAAAAAATCTGTATGCATATTGCTTGCTGGGTCACTACCACCTCCTTTTATTATTTGCATATGATTAAGTCCCTTTTAGATACATTTCCATCGAAATGAAAATTTTTGAATAATGTGGCTATTATTGCTTCATTAAGGCTGGCTCTGGGATTCGACTTGGAGAGATGAGCTTGCAAAGGCTTTGCCTGCAAACTTGACCTGTTTCTTGTCGCTTTTAATTTTTGTCTTTATTTTATTTACCCTCTATAATAATGGGAGTGTTAACTGCCAGTGACCGCCTCTGATTGTAGGGCTTTGTTCTGGAGCATTCCCCCAACCCCCCTTCTATCTTGAAGAAAAGAAAAGAGTGGGGTCTGCTTATTTCTTATTTTATTAGGAATAAACCCAAGATAGGTGGTCTAAGAAAGACAGCCAGGGTTTGAAATCTAGCAAATGCTGGCTGTTTTCTCCCTGTCTATACGGTTCATTAGCCTGTCTTGTCAGTTTTCCTCGGCCGAACGCTTCTAAACCTCACTGAACATTGCTTTGTGCAGTGCTCGCTGCAAGCTCGCCCATTTTATTGTACTTCATAGACAAAATAAGACCAGGCCGAGGGTATACAAACAGATAAATAAGGACTTTTCTCCTCCACCTTTCCACTCGTCCTCCAGCTGGTACGTGCTCTGGGCCCTCCCTCTGGGTTGGCAGCTTTTGGAAGTGTCAGCATCAGGGCACCTTGGCGACTCCCTCGGTGTGGCGGGTGGGGGACCTCGCGCCGCCACCTTGACTCTCAGCTGCCGGCTTTGGCTTGTCTAGCCCCTTTCTCTGGCGTTCTCCTTCAGGCCCTTCTTCCGCTGCGTTGCTAAGTGGGGCCACTTTTATTTGGACTTGCTGGGGGTATGTGTATGTGTGTGTGTGTGGGGGGGGGGCGTGGATTTCTCTCCCTCTCTCCCTCCAACACCACTGTTTGCTCCCAGTGTCTCTCTCTGTCCAGTTGCTGTGTCTCTGGATTGGTCCAAAGGAGTTGCAAAAAGAGCGTGAAAGTGAAAACGTGAGGAGTGGGTGGGCTAAAACAGGGCTCATGACAGCTCTCCGTTGCGAATGGTTGCAACGCGTCTGGAGATTTGGGTTGTGGGCCTCCTCCGCCTCCCATATCTGCAAGGGAAGGCCCAGAGTTGTTTCTCTTTCTGACTTGGCACGTGAGTCCCGTCTTGGGGGAGAGATCAGCCTGTCTTTGTTCAGCTCAAGGACCGCCAGGCGGGCAGCTTTCCTGGAGGGCTCTGCCAGGATCCCCGGGGCCCAGTGGCTCCCTTGCGGAGTCCTTGTCCCAGTGCTCTGCTCCTCGGTCTCTCGGTCTTGGTGTCATCTCAAAGTTTTCTTCTCTCAAATGTCTACCCCTTCGAATAAACTCCCGGCTTTGATTTCTCTGGGGAACTCCGGACAGAGGCTGAGTCCCCCTTTCCCCGGGAGGAGGGGAGGGCAGGCCGAGCTGAGCTTTAAAAGCGCCGACGCGCCGGGTCCTTACTGTTATTTGGCAAGTTGCAAACTTTCGACTGTGTAGACGAGTACACAGAGCAAGCCGCCTGCGCAATCCTGGCGCGGCCCGGCCCCTGGTGGGG